TCATTGATGGCTTGAAGTTGAAAATCGTAAGTTTATATTACTATCGTGGTATTGATTTGCCTTTTGACGTCAAAATCTCTCACTTCATATTGAAACCGATTGCAATTGGATAAAAGGCGAATCTTGTGAACATGACGATGTCAAAAAATTGCAAATTGCAAAGTATTGCTGATGGTCTGAAGTTGGACTGAGATAAATGCTGCTCCTTTGTAACTGCAGTTTATGAGTGCTTGATATTTCGGATTTACTTTTTAGAAGTATCATTCAGATTCAAACCTTTGGCTGAACCGAGCTTACAGGATAAATGCGATTAAGATTTATTTTTGAATTTCTTTTTCTGTATTTTACCATCAATCACGTTCATTTATATTCGATTGTGCTCGATTCTGCTCTATTTCATGTTCTGTCTTCATCAGTGACATTGCTTCATCACTCAGTTCCAAGCGAAACATTCCTCTGGAGTGGAGATGAAAACCGCCACAGCAAAGTTTCGTTCGAAACCGATTGGTGAACCAGTGTCATTGATATTACAGAAACTGAGTCAGGCTATGATTTGGCTTATATCTAATCACCTGTTCATGTTACCTTTCCTCATCGTTTCCCGGATTATTTGACCGGATTATTATTTATTTATTATTATTCATCTGATTATTTGATCTGATTCGTGACTTCTAATATATTTCTAACTTCTATCAAACAAAAGTATTATCACTAACACAAGTTTAAATCAATCCAATTCTTGATATATAGTGCTGTAACTAAGTTTATGAAGTATTCGTATATTCGTTCACTGTTCGATGTCATTCGTTCGGAATTGTCATCATAATGCGAATAAGAATTAAATTGCAAAGGCTTTTAAAAAATTAAATGGTTTCTGAAACTTCTGATTTTTTATTTAACTATAAGAGTGTTAGGAATTTTTGAATTCGCATACTTATGGATGCTTACAGAGCAAGAAAATTAATTCAAAACAATCACAAACAATTGCTTTAAGTCGTTTATTTCTATTGAAAATACAAGTCAGTTGCATTTGTTATTTGATTGCTAACATTATTGCCACTATATGCTCTCATATTGCAATGAATTTCCCGTGTATGTTCAGATTGAATTTCTTACTTGTCAGTTGTCAGTTTCCGTTCCGTTGCGCTTTCCAAATGTCGTTAAGGCTTTTCATGATGGATTTTTAGTCGTAAAAATTCCCTAAGTCATGATCACATTTGGGATCTTCAGGAGATCTCTTCAGTGCTTTTCAGATCGTATGGGTCGTTTTCATGAGTAAATGTAGAAAAAGTGACGACGATTGCCTGAGTCGGGTAGATTCTTTTTTTTTTCTAGAGAATTTAGAAGTAAGAGTAAGGATGTAAGGTATTATTATTGCTATGTTTAGATGGCTTTATTGTTCAGGCTCAAAAATTATCCCATTGAAGGTTCTGAAAGTTTTAATTCGAGAAATTTGCATGAAACGTTGAGGTTCTTATGGTAATTTGATGTTTGAAGGAATATGCTTTTACGGAAGAAATGCGGCTGAAGAGTGTTTATTGTCACTCGCGATTAATCT